TATATAATTAGAAGGGGAAAAAATATCAAAACTTACATCCACAGCATGCATATTATTGCACCATGTACACAAAAAAAATCATTCATACTTCTTTTGCCTCTGCAGTCTAGATTGAATGTCTCCACTGTAGGGCGAAACGTGGTACGCGTACTGCTGGAAAACCGAGAAAACGAGCATCTCGGCACAGACTAGAGCATTCTGAATGGCTTCCTCAACGTGCTCCGTGTCTAACCAGAAATGATGAGATCGGATGGTTCCCATTGCAACAAGTATGTCGAGCATTACTCCCTGTTATTCATTTCCACAGCACAGTTCAGATCATAAATTAACGATGTTATAAATATTATTCTAATTGGAGCAAACTGTAATTTGTTAGGGAATGCCATCGAAGGGTATTCATCACGGTAGTATTTGATGCTAGAATTTTTCGTATGACTTAATTTTCTTTCGATATTGATTTGCCTAGTTCAATTTTGATAATGAAATGCACACATTTTAAGCTAAAACGTTCGAAGGTGTATAAAACAGAACAACAACAGTGCTTTTCACCTGCCAAAAGCAGAAGAAAACGATTCCTTTGATACAGATGAACTTTGATAGCGGCTTGTGTGGCTCCAATTCTTTGGCAAAAACGTGGTAGAACACGACTAATGAATACATGGCCAAGGAAAAGGATAAATTGAGAACGACGGTGAATGTCCAGCTCAGCCAACTCGGGTAAAACCCAATAACTTGCAAAGTTATCATCAAGACTGAACACACGGGACGGATGACGACAAACTGCCAAGTCCAGTACTTGAGAAGTCTCAACGTCTGCTGATTCAAATGCGTCTTTCTAGGCTGCATATTTTTTTCCGTATAAAGGGAACAATTTTTAGAATCAGTTTTGACAAAGATCTGCCAGAATGAAACAATCTATGAGTAGCTCATGCCCTTGGCTATACTTAAGCAGCAGAAATTCCAGGTTTCGGTCGACAATTCCGTATAATTTCCCCAAACATAAAGAAAATCCAGGAATTATCACCAGCTACTAAGTACCAAGAGATAAAAATTCAACCTTTTCGAGGATACTAAAGCAATTCAGCATTCTTAATTGTCATCTTACGACAAAATCTTGAACTGAGGGTGAAAAACCGGCAACTTCCGTATAGTTTTCCCCAATGAGAAAGAAAATCCAGGAATTATCACCAGCTACTAAGTACCAGGAAAGAAAAATTCAATCTTTTCGAGGGTATTAAAGCAAAGCGTTCTTACTTATCATCCTAGGACAAATTCTTGAACAGAGGGAGAAAAACAATCAATCACCTGGAAAAGGGTCATCGGAAATGAATGGTGGATCTCCCTTCCTTTAATCTCATCGGGCACGACATTTTTGCTCAAGGAAATATTCAAATAACTATACATCAGAGCCAAGAACTTCGCAATAGCCTGAAACAGCAACAACATCAACAACAACAACAACATCAACAACAACAACACTATTTCACATCATTACACACTCAAAATTCAAAAAACTAAACATACATACAACAACAAAGTCTTTTAGTCCCAAACAAGTTGGGTAGACTAGAGATAAAACCCAAGAGAAACAGTTGTAAGAGAAACACAAAAAAAGCTCAAAACAAAACAAAACAAAAGGAAGAGATTGGAGCAAAAGAGAAAAGAGCAAAGGTCACGATTCCGGCACGTTGATTGCTAGCCTCCAAGCGCTCCTATTCACCGCTAAATCCTTGGAGATATTCCAATTAAACATACATACATAAATAAAAATTGAATCTTGAACATACCAAAGCCTCGTAGCATTCCTTAACAGAGTCCAAAAACATGAAAAACTGCTTGCTGCCTCGAATATCAAGCAACCCCACAAACGAGTCGACGGCATAAACAGGGGCCATCAAGATGATTATGATTATGGCCTTTTGCTCCTTGGGATTTTTCCAATAGAAAAGGTGCTGCGAAAGGAGCTGAAACGTGAAGTGCAGAGTCAACATCACCGAAAACCCTGAAGCCGCCAGCGTCAGTTGCCGTCGATCCATGCTACCGAAGTCCATGGCTCCTCAGTGGTTGCCGATTGACGGCACGAATTCAAAGGTCGCGAAAAATGGCAGCCGAGTGCAGAAATGAATCGGTAGATTTGAAGAACAGTGACATTTTTGAACAATTAAACTGCAATTTACTGAGAGAGTGAGAAAGGTCAGCAAACCTTGCTTCAGTGTTTTTACATATTTAGCCCCGTCATACGAGAAGATTCACAATAATGGTATTGGGTAATTAAAATTAAAGAAAATTCTACATTAATGCTAGTTTTAGTTATAGACTTATTATAATTATTATAACTACAATAAACAACATACTTCAAAAAAAA